ACTGAGAAGTTTTAAGGTGGTGGCTTTAAGCTTTTATTTTAGAACTGTTACTCTGACACTGTCATGGAAGAAAGTGTAGAATACAGCTCAGACTAAAGCATACAGTAGGGCTATTTCGGTTTTGCATAAGTCATGGTTAAACTTAGGACTGTAAAATGGAGAGTGAGGAGTGGGTTTGAATAATATCTAGGATGTAGAATGTGTGAAACTGTCTGTTTCCCTTTACACTGTAGTAACAGACATTCTCCACAGTTCCGTGGCAGCTGCCACTGTTGGGAAGTGTCTGAGACTGTGATCTGCTTTGTCTTGTAGAAGACTTTTCGTTTGTGCCTGTAGTTTTTTATTTCTTATTTTGAAAGAGGATAAATGTGTTGACATTGTTGGCTTTGACATTATCCGTACGTGAGCGCCATGAGGCAGAGATACTCTGTTTCTCCTGGTAGCCTCCGTGCCTGGCACGTGCTGGGCAGCAAATAAAGAAGGATTGACTCACTGTGGAACTTTTGCCCCACCACGCTTGCTCGTTCATTCCCTTGGATTTGCACAGTCTTCATATTTACCAGCTTACATCAGTGGTTCTAAGCTAATACAAAGTAATTTTCTCTGTTTTGTCCTGGAGACTGGTACAGGACCTCTAATCTTTGTCTTCCTTCTTGCTAGGCGTGCTGCTGCTGGGAGATGCGTATAACGTGCGGCACCCTCTCACTGGCGGAGGAATGACTGTTGCTCTAAAAGACGTAAAGCTGTGGAGGAAGCTGCTGAAGGGCATCCCTGATCTGTACGATGATGCAGCTCTTTTGCAGGTAAGCTACTAGGGTATTACAATTATTTTTAATCTTTTTTTTTTAAATATTTGGTTCAGGGTCTCGCTATGCAGTAGGACTTGTGATCCTCCTGTCTCAGCCTTCCCAGCACTGGGATTACAAGCGTGCACCACCAGGCCTGGTTTTGGTGGCATAGCTCGGTCAGGGCGGGCACGCCATGCAGTAGCAGGGATCAAATCTGGGTCCTTGTGCTTGCCAGGCGGGGGCTTAGGTCGCCGAGCTCTCTCCCCAGCCCCGACTAGGTTATTCTTGACAAAATAGTTCTGTGTCTGTAGGGCTTTGGTGGGGAACCTGCACCAGGAGTCTGCGCCTCGCTGTTCTGAGGCAGGCGTGCCCAGGTGTGAACCTCACCCGCCACTGTGCATCTCACAGAGTTCCTCCATTTCTGGCCTGTGGCAGAACATAAAGCAGGATTCCATACGCCAGCGCGCTCCGGCGTTGGAGTCTTTTGACCCCAGCTCTGAAAATGAATTTTTGGTGAACAACAAACATAAGGCTTGCTCATAGTGCTCAGGAGAAAAATAAAAAAAATAAATAAATAAAAATACCAATTTGGTGAGATTAAACAGTTTATGCTTTCGCCCCCCCACTATGTGTAGTAAGTGGTCTTCTTCATTTTTAGGCTAAAAGATCATTCTATTGGTCCAGAAAAAGTTCTCATTCTTTTGTGGTGAATATCCTTGCCCAGGCTCTTTATGAACTATTCTCTGGTAGAGATGGTAAGTATAAACATTTTTTTAATGTACAATATTGAATATTTTTTAGCATAGCAAAGGAACTTATTTATAAGGATTAGTAAACGATCCAGAAATTAAAGTGTTATTCAGTTAGCTGACTACTAAGTTTGTAGTTTTCTCTCCCTGACTGTTGGTTTTTGGTTTTTGCACCATGCCCAGTTTGGTACAAGTAGTTTTTTTAAACTCCATTCTGCAGCAAGATCTTTAGTTTTTTTTTAAATAATTTTATTGAGAAACAAATAGAAAAGAGACAGTTTCACAACCAATTACAAGCACAGTTTCAATAATTAATGCATTGCATATTGTTGTCTTAGTGGTTATTCATTGTTCAAGATGCAGACATGATATCCTGTCCACAGACACCATTAGAACAAGTCTCTCTATTCATTGAATTTAGAGAATGCCGCTGTATGTCCATCCTGTTTTGAATATACAGATACCAAATGGCCGTTTGTTTGTATCCCCCTTTTTAGATCTTTAGTTTGTAATCCTCCTGTGTTCCATGCCTTGATCGGGAAGGCTGCTGACTCTCCTTAGACAACATCGATAGCAGTGCCTCGGTCATTCCTGATTTTGAGTTCTTCTGGCCCAGATCAGACTGCGCATGTCCTCACGTGGAGGTTCATGCTGGAAGGTCTTCCCAGCTGTGTCTGAATAGGCCAGATGCTCTTTTTCTTCCTAAACACGAGTTTCAATTTTTTTTTGAGGGTAATATTTTAGAAATAACTTCAGAACAAGTTTAGTTTGTCTCCTGTTAAAAAGCACAAGTAGCATAGTGCATTTACCTTTTGCTCATGTGAAACAGCCTCATGCTTTGGCTTCTGTTTGCGTGTTGGAGAGCGATGATGGTTAGTCTAAATGATTGCGCCTCCCTCGTGAGAATATGTGACATCCAAACGCACTCAGCTTTTTCCCGAGCTCTTTGATGATGACTGCAAGACAACACAGCCGCAGTGTTTCCTGTAGCTCTCCTGACCATTAACTCTTACTGAGGGGCAAGAAAGCCGTGGAGATTAGCAAAACCAGTCTTCCTTGCTAAATTGGCATAGAAGTTAAAGTGTTTGCTTAGGCAAATATAAAGTAAGATTTTCTTTCTAAGCTTTTCTCAATTCTTGTATTCTTCCATTATAATTGGAAGTTACCAACAAAGCAACATTAAGTTAATGAAAGACTGGAGGAGAGGATTTTGTTGGAAGAAACGTGTTTTGTTTGCATCTTTTAAAATATGTTTAGGGCCCAGGGATATAGCTCAGTGGCACAGAGCCTGCCTGGCAAGAGAGACTCAGGCCCTTGCACTTGCCAGGCAAGCGCTTATTCTACTGAGCTATCTCCCCAGCTCTGAGGGTGTGAGTTTGATTCCCAGTACCCCCCTCAAAAAAAAGTTTAGAAAAGTCTAAGCATACTTCAAAAGAACATTGATTCTAAACTTTTAGAAAGATTATTCATTATTAAATGTTGTAAAGGTTAATGAATTGCTTTGAGAAGTATTCAAAATTTATATAGAGAAGACATTTTTACTGGGTCTTTTACATGATACATGGAGATATGGATTGGGTATCTAAGGAAGTAACTTGATTTCTAGAATTGTTACTATTTTACATCACTTACTGAATTTACAACAAAATCAAACAATCTTTGAACAACTCAGTTCCTGAGCTCTAAAAATTAGCAGTCATTTGCTAACAGAAGCAGTTTTATTTTTTGTTTTTTGGCCGGCTCAGCCCACCGTGAGGGCAGGGCTTGCGTGGCTGGTGGTGCAGGGCATCGAACCGCGGTGTCCTGTGGCTGCCTCAGCTTGCCGAAGCAGGTGCTTTAGCCTGCGGAGCCATCTTGCCAGCCCCAGTTTTATTCTTATATGTGGTACTACCCATACTACTGATTATGGAATACAAAAGAAATTTTGAATGTTAAAATTCTAGGACTACATATTTGAAAATTTTTGTAATACATAGTATTTGTTATGTTTTCTGACATATGATTATCACCCTCAGTGTGTATTTTGGTTGAGAGTAACTTTTACATTTCATTTTAGATTCCTTACATCAACTAAGGAGAGCCTGTTTTCTTTATTTCAAACTTGGTGGACAGTGTGTTTCTGGTCCCGTTGGACTGCTTTCTGTGTAAGTTGTTTCTGATGTCAGAGAGGACACATGTATTCCAGATTTTATTAATGTGTGGAAATCTTTCTTCCTTAAGGGTTTTGTTATCTTATCCAGTGTCCCTGTCAGAAAGTGGCCCCAAGAGTGGAAAAAAAGGTAGTGGTGGACAGTGTTTCACACTCAGGAAGCTCTATCCATCAGACGTGGCAATAGAGGGAGGCTAAAACCTCCAGTAACGCGGAGGCTCATTTTTACCTACATGGGTGGATCTGTGGGAGCCATGACAGACTGAGAAATTAGAACTTAAAAATTAATTTATTAGTACATGTCTGCACACATCCTTGTGTGTTGATTTATGTACATAGTACATGTTCATTTCTTTTTTAATTACCTTTCCTCTATCTCGCAAACCCCTTCTCATTTGCGAAGGATCTAGCTCCCTACTTACTGTGTCTTTTAGTTTGCCCTTCGCCCGTGCGTACCCGTGTTTATAGCAGCACAGTTCATAACAGCTGAATCTTAGAAGAGGCCTATATGCCCATCAGTAGATGAGTGAAGGAAACATGTTTACACACTGGAGTACTACTGTGTTAAAGATAAACTGGATTCATTTCTAGGATGTACCTTAAGATTGTAATGTTAAGTAAATCAGGCACACAAGTTTAAATAGTGCATGGTTTCTTTTATATGAGAGACCTCAATTACAAAAATTAGCTTGATTGAAGTGTAGAACTGTTGCAGATTGACAGGAGGGCTGGATGTAACCGGCCACAGGGGTCCCAATCAAATCTGAGCAAGCACAGCATATTTATTGAGAAGCTTAGAGAGTCCCAGTCATCGACGAGGGCAGTGTCTAAGAGGCCCTCTCGGTCTCGAGGTCCTGAGCAGGCACATACTGCAGTCATCTTAAGACTTCACAGTACACAGGATTCCTGCTCTGAGAAAACAGGATTGTTCTGCCCCGGCCGTTAGGGATTATCAGTATAGAAAGCAGGCCAGAATCCAGTATTAAATGTACGAGTCTATTACTGGGCCTGGGACCGCTTGAGCACACTCACGCAGAAGAGGCCAAACAGTGAGCCAGCCGGGAGTGGAGAGGCTTTAAAACTAGAAACCACATCGTGTTTGGCAAACAGATTTGTCATTTAACACAGAACAGTGCCTTCGGGGACAGCGTGCCCATTGCTCAGCATACATTCCTTCTGGAGCATGGCTTCGTTTCCGTTCAACATACATCTGCGCACGCGTGGTCCTGACTTCCACAGCAGCGCTTTCCAGTTGGTTGGCAACACCTTAGTTATTTTGTACAGTCAGAAACATTTCGACCTTTACTTTGCTGTATTGTGTAGGCCTGTTCTGGGAACTCTCAGTCTGGTGATGATTTATCGATGGTACACCACGCCTCCTTGCGGTCTGACAAGGAAGCAGGGTCAGAAAGTGGAGCAGAGTAATTTTTTGCATTTAGTTTACGTTCACTCGTTACACTGGCAGCTTGCCGCCAGGTCGTGCCTGTCAGTTTGCTGAGTGTGCAAAGTAAAACATCTTCTTTATTTGCCCCGAACTTCTCCTCTGAGATGTGTCATGAGTCACACAGCATAGAACTCATGAAACTCAGCTTGCCAGTGTAGACACATGTGGAGCTATTCTTGGGAAGTGTGCAAAAGGAGATTCTTCGAGTCAGGTTTCCTTCCTGCGTAAGTGAATGTCCCCGTAAATGCTGAAAAGTCTAGAGCCCAACAGGCATGGCCGTCCAGTGCTTTAGCCTTGGAGCTCATGATCAGTGAAGGGAACAGCTCCTCCAAAGGGAATTACCCTAAGTAATTTCCTATAAAGCATCTTTCTGTTCTTGCCGTCAAATGCAGCAAGCAGGCAAGTTTGTAAAGTCTTCTCAAAATGCAATCGGTTTTAAGCTTTATGGGTGACCTCACTGGAACCTTTTATGAGTGAATTTTTGTCTGTGGGTCTGACCCAATGTTTTTCTTCTTTTATTACAGGTTGTCTCCAAACCCTCTAGTTTTAATTGGACACTTCTTTGCTGTGGCAGCCTATGCCATGTATTTTTGCTTTAAAACAGAACCTTGGATTACAAAACCACGAGCCTTCCTCAGTAGTGGTGCTATAGTTTACAAAGCGTGTTCAGTCATCTTTCCGCTCATTTACTCAGAAATGAAATACGTGGCTCATGAAGCTTAAAGGGAACCACTTGAACTCACCAAGTCCTGCAAGACTTTTCCGAAGAGTGAAAGTGTACCCAGCGTAGTACTTTGCTATACTACTTCTAAAGGGGAAACTCTTGGACCAAGATTGGGATTGCTTTGTTTGTGAAGTTTTTTTGTACATAAGCATGTAAATATATGCCTTAACTTGCAATTTACAATGAAGGGTAAAAATAGGCTAGATATTTAAAAGAAATGATTGTGACCAAAAGTTTGTGCTAACCTGAGGAACTGCGTTTTTCTTTCGATTTCAGTATTTGGGACAAGTCTTGGGGTATCCAAATAAAATGGTGGACCGTGTCTTTTTTTTTTTTGACCATGTCTTCTTGTGGGCTCCTTTCCATAGCTGCATGGTAAGGGCAGAAAAGGCCAGGTGCGGGCGAGGTGCAGAGCCCTGCTCCTCAGGTCGTGCTGAGGCCTTCCCCAGGCCCAGCCAGTCCACGGGGTAGTTCTGGGAAATTCTTTTCTGAACTCTTTTTTTCTGGGTGCTCTGAAAATATCAGGTCCCTGAAGGCATAGCAAAAAAGGGCTTTATACGTTTTTTTTCTGTGACCCTAAGTGAGGATAGCATTATCTCAAGAAAGTCAGTGCACAAATAAGTGCGTGGCCTAAAGTCAGTCTTATTTTCTGTGGTACTGGGGGTGGAACGCAGTGCCTTCTCACTGCCTACGCCCCAGCGGCTTCTGGCACTGAGGCTTGACCCCAGTGTCTTGTGCACGTTCGGGTGCTCTGCCGCTGTAGCCCAGCCCTCTCCCAGTTGTTTACTTCGAGACAGGTTCTTGCTCATTTGCCCGTGTTGGGCTCTAACTTCAGATCCTTCTGCTTCACCTCAGGAGTGCTGGTGACAGGCCTGCGCCACATGCTGGGCTGAGTAAACCATCACCTCTTGCTGAATAAAAAAACAGCTCGTGGTGACTTGCAAAATCTGTCTCTTGATACTGAGGTTTGTGGACAGTTCTGTCCTGGGCATCACTGAAACCTTAGTGAACGCTCAATGCCATGAAAATAAATGGGTGAAATATTAGTTGGAAGGTTCTAGTGACTGGGATAAAAATGATTGTGCACTTAAAAATTTTACTTGAATTTGTATGTTTCTTCTTTCACTTGAGAAAGTGTCTCATTGGCCAACTGCCTAGTCAGTGTTTGGCATCCCATGTTTCAGCGGAGCACATAGTGGGTGCATGTACTCACGAGATTTCTCTCTGCCTTGCCACAGACTTCTATTTTTTGATGAAAAACTCCCAGATCTGGTGGTTTTTTTCAGCAGTGGGCTTTCTTTTTATAGGAAATCAGACATCTCACCTCGTTTACTCTTAAGAGATGCTGAATGGAATAGCAAGTTGCCTGTGCGTGGCTGCTGCCTCAGCAGCAGCTCTGCAGACTGCGCACCCACGCTGAGCCGGCAGGGGGTGGGGCGTAGGGGCGGGACGAGAGGGCAGGGTGGGCGCTCGGTGGTGGGGCGCCTGCTCAGCCAGCAGCAGGCCTGAGCGCAGTCCGGATCCTGAAAACAAGTCCTGTCCTGAGGCTGGAAGCCTCGCCATGCCTAGGGTCTGAGGCGTCTCTCCACCGGCTCCTGTTAGTCATTCTGTGATAGTGAAACAATGGAGGGCTGGGAAGATGGCTCAGCGGAATAAGTGCTTGTCTGGCAAGTGCAAGGGCCTGAGCTCAATCCCCGGTTCTGCCAAAAGAAACAAAGGAAGCCTAACAAGTCACTGTCCTATTTTTCCTTCTCCTTCCTCCTCTTTCAGTACCTCAGGATTTGAGGCCTTCCAACAAAAGGAAGTACCTTCAAAATCACACAACTGAAGGAACCTGAGCAAGTACTCAGCCCAAATTTTACAGATGACCTCAACAGGCTGGCCTGGAGCAAGGTGTAGCAGACAAGTTTGTCCCCTCGCAAGGGCATCTTGGCCAGTGACTGCCCAGCACTTTGAGGCTGCAGACTTTCTGTGCTGCTCAGCTTTCCACTGCTCTAAATTCCAGCACCATCCGCCGGGGAGATGTATTTCAGCTCACAGTGCGAGGTTTCAGTCCACGGTCACTCGGTCTGGTAGCAACTGCACGGTACGGCAGGAGACGTGGCAGAAGTCTCTTTACCTTAGGGCAGCTGAGAAGCAGAAGGGCAGGATGGGGCAAGGGTCCCAAACTCCCTTCAAGGACAACCTGTAGCCCCTGCTGACTTTCTGTAAGCCCTGTGCCCTGAAGGTGCCCACACGGCCTGGTGGTGCCATGCTGGGCACCAAGCCCTGAGCCCGGCCTGGGAGTGCATTTACGATACAGACCTGTTTTAGTCTCGTTTGTTCCTCTCTAGAGGACACAGCTTGCCACAGGGTTGAAAACAGCTTTCTTGCTTTCATCTAAGCTGTTGATGGGCTGGGGAGATGGCTCAGTGGAATAAGCGCTGCCTGGCAAGCACGAGGACCCAAGTTCAATCCCTGGTTCCACGAAAAACAAAAAAACTGTTCATGTCCCACGTTGCCACTATGGTACTACAGCTCCCTGTGGTATTTTCCGGTAGAAGTTAGGATTTTGAGGGAGTTAAATGCTTATCAGACATGAGCTGTTACAAAACCAAAAAAAAAGCAAAAAGCTTCTGGAGACTGGGGCAGGACTTGGGCTGCACAGGGAAGGTCTAGAAGCAGTGAAGGGAGGGAGTGCAGGAGCTACTACGAGCCCAGGGCGCCCAGGGCGTGGGGCCGAGCAAAGCCGATGCTGAGCCTTGGGCGTCAGCCGCTGCAGCAGGCTGGCTGTGGACGGGCCATCACCGTACGCTGCTGCCCTGGGCGTGCCGCCACAATGGTGCAGGCCAGGTTTGTATACAATGCACGTACTTTTTTGGGCAATACTAGGGATTATGCCCAGGGCCTTTGTGCTGAGTTCCATCCCTAGCCATTTCATTTCTTATTTTGAGACAGTCTTGCTAAGACATTAAGTTACTCAAGCTGGGCTCAAACTTGGGATCCTCCTGCTTCGGCCTCCCCTAGTGCCGAGATTACGGATGTGCACACCAGGCCTGGATGAATACACACGCTGAAACAAAGAGGGAAGACAGCCTGGTTACTGGCAGTAAAAGTTTACTGAAAACGTGGAGTTGCACAATTAGTCCTTTAGAACATAAAACTAAATGGATTTTTATGTAACAATTACATTCAGTATTTATAAGAGACTTTACAAAACTGTGTTTGCTTCCACATGATACACACTGCAAATAAAATGACGCTGACCAGTGCTGAGATGCACCTTCCTCAGAAACAGGGAAGAAGTTATGTGAGCAGCTGAGTTCTCTTCACTTGCAAATCCATTTGAGTGATGGGAAGATTAAAGGGTAATCCTTTCATTGAAAAAAATTACAGGACTGTTCTGAACTCATCAAAAATGAAATTAGGCACATGTGCTTCAGCAACCTGAAAAAAACCAGAAGAACTTAATTATTCATAGTGTTGAGCAAATTAAAAATACTCCATACGAAAGTTAAAAAAAATCAATTTGGTTTGAAACTGTCTCACTGCTATTTGTTTCTCAATACAATTATAGAAAAAAATAAAATTGCATCTAAAAAAAAAAATCAAACTGTCCTTTGGAGCAAGGTGGGCCCTACAGACAGACTAGATTCCGTGAAGTGGCGCGCTGGAAGGGGCCGCCGCCGCCGCCGCCGCTGGCTAGTCCTGGGGCCTCACGCCTCAGCTCTGCTGCCGGTTGAGGGCGGCTCACCCCTACGCTGAATACCCCTCCCCCTTCTCATCTGGAGAACAGGGTGTCTGGCGAGAGGCGTGGAAGAGCAGACAGGCTGCTGTGGGGACCCTGAGAAGGCCAGAATGGGCTGGGACAGAGAGGTGGCTTCTGAGCGCTGCAGATGAGTAGCTTTAAAAACCAGGGTTTAGTTTTTTTTCTGATTATAAAGGTACTACCTCTTAGAGGAAATTCAGAAAATGCAGATGAGTAAAAAAATCTTTAATTTCATCTTGTTTTTTTGGGGGGGAGGGGGGTGGGGGGGTATCAGGAATCAGGCTCACAAACTTGCACTTGCCAGGCAGGCACTGTACAGTTGAACGATACCCCTGACCCTCTAATTTTCACCTTCAGAAAAGGAAAACTGATAATTAAATTTGAATTCTTCCGCTTTACGCATGCTCAGCTTGGCTCACACAATCTTGTCATGTCCTTTACCGCCACAACACTCACCATCTTGCACCCATATTGGTCACACAGCAGCAGGGGACGTGCTGGGATCAGGGTATTAGGAGCTTTTAGAACAGGTGCAGCGACAGAGCCCTCCTTGAAGGCTAGGAGCCCGTCTCTGCTCCCACATTCTCCAGAGAAGGCTCACGCAGACTGTCCCCACCGTACTGGGCGGACACTGTGCCTCCTGTTCTCTTGGTCCCCGCCCCTGGCACACGGGGGAGGATGGCCGCTATTCCAAGCACTGCTCCCGTGAGGGTTTCTTTTCCTGAGACCTGCTTGGTAACATCCTCTGGTCACTCCCTACTGCCTTGGTAATCTTTTCTTAGTGATTTGGAATAGCAAATGTAAATCAAGGAAATTAGTCTTTTGCTAGTTCTGATTTCTTTTGTATTTGACAGAATTAATTAGTCAGTTCATTAGATATCAAATCATTTGCTTTATGGTTTTTCTCTTGTTGCCCTAAAAAAGGTACAAATTTGTCTAAAATTTCTGGTAATTTCTCAGTATGCCTGGTGGCGGGGCTGGCATGCCATGTGGTGCCGGGGATGGGATCGCAGTCCCTGCGCTTGCCTAAGTAGGTGCTTAGTCCGCTGAGCTATCTCACCGGCCCTGTATTTTAGTAAGGAGGAGGACGTGAAGATACTGATTTGCTATTCTGAACCCTAGGACGAGCTGACTGTCCCATTACTGCTGCCTGCTACTCCTTTCCCAATTTGACATGTTACTAGTCCATAACCCAACTCGATGCCTAGTTCTAGGTTTAAGTGTAGGCTGCACAATTTTGCCCATGGATTCTATTATTGTATTTTACATGAGTACTATACTATTTTGATTTTTGTAGCTTTACAATACCTTTTAATATGTTTTAAAATATTTCTTGTAACAACAGTTGTTTACAACCCAAATTCTATGAAATTTAAAAAGAAATTTTAGTTAAAAAAATTATCTGAGACCTGGGAGATAGCTCAGTGGCTTAAGTGCCTTTCTGGCAAGTGCAAGGTTCTGAGTTCAATTCCTGGTACCAAAGCAGGGGAGAAGGGACCTTTGGGAAAAGGTTTCCAACTCTTGGGGCCAGCCAGATAGCTCATCGGACTGAAGCACCTGCGTAGGCAGGCACAGTGACCAGGGTTCAGTCCCTGGCGTGTCATGCTGGCCCCACCCCCGGGGTGTGCCGAGACAGCTGTATAGTGAGACCCTGTACTAAATAAAAACAAACAAACAAACAAACAAACAAACATTGTCTGAACCAAGGATGGTGGCATATGCCTGTAATCCTTGGTACATGGGAGGCTGAGACAGGAGGACTGCAAGTTTGGGAACTTGGCTCAAAATAAAATTGAAAAGGCTGCAGGGGGACTTGTCTTGCACATGCAAAGTCCTGGGCACAATTTCAAGAACGACAACAATTTGAGTTTTGACTATAAGCACAGTAAATGTATAAACTAGAAAGAAACTTGAAGTTTCAAAATTTTGGCTTTTCCCTAAATCTGTCCTTTAGATTTTAAAGGGTATTCCTAAGTTATATCCTTATCACTTCTGTGAATGATATATAATATATATTGCTTTTGATTTTAGAGACAGGGTCTTGCTGTGCAGTGCAGGCTGGCCTCAACCTAGCTATGTTGCCCAGGCTGGCTTCAAACTTGCAGCAACCCACCTGCCTCAGCCTCCTGAGTGCTGGGATTACAGGTGGGTGCTAACACACCCAGCTATATTTTGGTTATCGATGTACTTAATTGTACATTCTGTATTGTTTCTTGGGCTCATTTATTAAACACTCTTTTACGTAATTCTATTAGGTATTCAAGGAAGACAATTACATTCTCAGTAAGTAACACAAGCTTTGGTCCTCCCAGGAGTCACTGTTTTCTCTAACTTGTATCCTGTGCAACAGAAGGAGCAAGAGAAACAATTACCGGCGGCGTAGCACTTTGGTAGTTCCAATAAAACTGTACTGTCACTTCACTAAGTATCACACTGCTCGTTAATCTTGAAGAAATAATTTTTGGCTTCTGTTATTGAGAATAGTATCTTCAATTCTTAGTCTAATCGCTTCAAAATTTGGAATGACTTAAGCATCTGTTCAAAGCCTTTTTTAAAATAACTTAAAAAATATTGTTTTATTCGGTACAGGGTATCATCAGACCTCTAGTGATCTCCTGTCTCAGCCTCCCCAGCGCTAGGGTTACAGGCGTGAGCCACCCCGTTTT